TAAATAGGAATGGTGATAAGGGCGTCCTTGTCTTGTTCCTGTTCTCAGGAGGAATGTTTTCAGCCTCTCTCAGTTAAGAATGATGTTGGCTGTTGGTTTTGTATAGATGGCCTTTATTATGTTGAGGCAGGTTGTGATATTTTCAGTCGCTTCATATGTGTGCAAAAGCTGGACAGACAGTGAATAAGGAAGACCGGAGAAGAACTGATACATTTGAATTACGGTGTTGACAAAGAATGAATAAATTTGTCTTGAAAGAAGTGCAGCCAGAATGCTCCTTTGAAGCATGGATGGTGAAACTTCGTCTTGTGTGCTTTTAAAGTGTTATTAGGTAGGACCAGTCCCTGCAGAGAGACATCATGCTTAGTAAAGTAGAAGGTCAGTGAAAAGGAGGAAAACGCTCAGCGATTGACACCGTGGCTGCAACATTGATCTAAACATTTCTGGTAACTAAAATCAGATAAAGAATGTACAAAAAATAAAAACAATATCTCCAGCAATGTATGAAAATAATTACACACTGTGACCAAGTGCAGTTTATTCCAGATTTGCAAGGCTTGTTTAACCTTTGAAAACCAATTAATGTAATCCACCATATAAACAGGTTGATGAAGAAATATTATATTATACCCATTGACCCAGAAAAAAAGTTTGACAAAATCTAACACTCCTCATGAAAAAAAATTCTCATCAAACAATAATGTGAGAACTTCTTCAACTTGATGAAGAGCATCTACAAAATACCTATAACTAACATCATACTTAATGATGAAAAACTGAATGCCTCCCCCCTGAGAACAGGAACAAGGATGTCCACTCCCACAATTCTTATTCAAAATAATACTAGAAGTTCCAGCCAGTGCAGTAAAGCCAGAAAAAGAAATAAAAGACATGCAAATTGGAGAGGAAGAAATAAAACTATCCCTATTTATAAACATCATGATTGTCTTTGTAGAAAATATTGAGGAATCTACAAAATACTCCTAGAATTAACAAATGAGGTTAGCAAGGTTGCAGGATATAACATCAATAACCAAAAAAATCAGTTGCATTTCATATGCTAACATGAACATGTGGAAACTGAAGTTAAAAACACAATACTATTTACAGTCACTCAAGGAAAATAAAGCACTTAGGTATAAACATAGGAAAACACATACAGGCTCTATATTCTGAACATTATAAAATGCTAATGAAAGAAGACCTAAACAGACATACTGGGCTCATGAATTAGAAGACTCAACGTAGTAAAGATACCAGTTCTCCCCAAATAAATCTACAGGTTTAATGCAATTTCTATCAAAATCCCAGCAAGGATTTTTGTAGATAGATAAGCTTCTTCTAAAATGTACGTGGAATGACACAGGCGCTAGAATACTTAAAATAGTTTTTGAAAAAGAGGAGTAAAGTGGGAGGAATCACTCTACCTGGTGATAGGCTTTCTATGTAGCTAGTGTAATCAAGACAGTGTGTTTTTGTTGGAGGGATACACACCTAAATCAATGGAATGTAATAGGGAACCCAGAAATAGGCCTATACAAGTGACTTTTTACAGTGGTCGAAAGCAGTTCAATGGAGGGATGATAGCTTTTTCAAGAATAATTCTGAAGTAATTGAACATCCATGGGGGAGGGGGGAATAAAAGAACCTTGACCTCAACCTCATACTTTATACGAACATTAACATAAAATTAAGTGTAAAATGTAAAACTTTAAAACTTTTAGAAAAACATATTGGAGAAACTGTTTAGGACTGAAGGCTAGACAAAGAGCTCTTGGACTTGACACCAAAACCATAATCCCTAAAAAGTAAAATTGATAAACTGGACCTTGTCAAAATTAAATAATTTTCCCTGCAAAAGACTCTGTAAAGCGTGTGAAGAGACAAGCTACAAATTGGGAGAAAATACTTGCAAACCACATAACTGATAAAACAGTTGTACCTCGAATACATAAAGAACTCTCAAATATCAATAGTAAAGAAACAAACCATCCCATTATCAAATGAGCAAAAGATATGAACAGATGGAAAATGCTTATTATCAGTAGCCACTGGGAAATGCAAATTAAAACCACACGGAGATATCGTACCTATCAGAGCAGCTAAAATAAAAAATAGCGATAACACCAAGTGCTGGTGAGAATGTGAAGATACCGGATCTTTCATACATTGCTGGTAGGAATAGACCCTTCGAATACATACGAGAACAAATGTTTTCTCTTCCAGTTTGACAGTTTTTTAAAAAACTAAACATGAGCTTACCACGTTGTTTTTGTTGTTAGGGGCCGTCGAGTCAGTTCCAACTGATAGCGACACTATGTACAACAGAACATAGCTTACCATATGACCCAGCAATTGAACTATTGTGCATTTTTCCCAGAAAAATGAAAGCTTATATTCACACAAAAACCTGTACAAGTATGTTCATAGTAGTTTTATTTGGGATAGCCCCAAGTTGGAAACGACTCAGATTTTCTTCAATAGGTGAGTAGTTAAATTGTAGTATATCTATTCCAGGGAATACTATTCAGTAATAAAAAAGAAATGCATTATTCATACACACACAATTTGGATGGATCTTAGAAAAATCAAGCTGAGTGAAGAAAACCATACACTACGTATGATTCCATTTGTATAACTTAACTTGAAATGACGAAACGGTGGATAGATTGGTGGTTGCCAGGGTTTAGGGATGGGGGAAGGGGGAGCTGGTAGTTGGTATAAAAGGGATCCTTGTGATGGGATTGTTCTATATCTTGATGGCAATGGTTGTCACACAAATCTGCACATGTGATAAAATTGTATAGAACCCATGTGTGTACACACACACACACACACACACACGCACGCACGCACATACAGGGGTGCATGTAAAAGCAGTAAAATCTGAATAATAGTATTGTTAATTTTCTGGTTATGATATTGTACTATAGTTATGCAAGATGTTTCCAGTGGGGGGAAAGTAGGTGAAGTATTATCTCTGTATTATTTCTTAAAACTGCATACAAGTCTATACTTAATCTCAAAAGATTAATCCACATGCAAAGGAATGAAGTTGGGCCCCTACCTCACACCATATATAAAAATTAACTGAAAATGGATCAAAGACTTAAATATAAGAGCTAAAACTATACAATTCTTAGAAGAAATCATTAGGATAAATCTTTATAACCTTAGAGTAGGCGGTGCTTTCTTAGATATGACACCAAAAACACAAGCAACAAACTTCTTAAAAAAAAAAAAAAAAGAAAGATCAGACTTCATCAAATTAAAAAACTTGTAATTCAAAGGACACCATTAGAAACTGAGAAGATAACCCACAGACTGAATGGGAGAAAATTTTTTCAAATCATGTATCTAATAAGGGTCTTTTATCTAAAATATGTAACAAAGTCTTATAACTCAATCATAAAAAGAAAAATAGCCCATTTAAAAAATAGGTAAAGGATTTAAATAGACATTTCTCCAAGGAAGATACAAATGGCCAGGAAGCTTATGAAAAGATGCGCAACATCATTAGCCACCAGGGAAATGCAAATCAAAACCACAGTGAGATACCAGCGCACACCCACTAGGATGACTATAATCAAAAAGACAAATAATAACAAGTGTTGATGAGCATGTGGAGAAACGGGAACCCTCATGCATTCCTCAAAAGATTAAATGTAGAGTTGACCCAGCAATTCCATTCCTAGGTATATACAAGAGAAATGAAAACATATGTCCACACAAAAACTTTCACACAAATGTTCATAGCAAAAAGGTATAAATAACTTATCTAACTGATGAATGGATAAACAAAATTTGGTATAGCTGTGCAATGGGATATTATTTGTCAATAAAAAGAAATGAAGAACTGATACATACTACAACATGGATGAAGCTTCAAAACCTTATACTAAGAGAAAGAAGCCAGTCACAAAGAACCACATATTGTATGAGTTCACCTATCTGAAATGTCTAGAACAGGCAAATCCATAGAGACAGAAAGTAGATTATTGGGTGCCTAGCACTGGGGGCGGGGGGGATGGAGTTTCTTTTCAGGGTGATGAAAATGTTCTTAAATTGTGCAGTTGCACAACTCTGAATATGCTAAAAACCAACATTTGTGCTTTGAGTGAGTTGAATGGTATGTGAATTTTATCTCAATAAAGCTATTATAAATAAAATGAAACTTAAAAAAATAAAAATGTTGAAAAATGATTACTGTTTCATATTGTACTCTTCTAATACATGTAAGAACAATGCTTTCTCTTCCACCTGTTCAGTCAGTAGTGATTTTAGCACAGACAAGACCAAAGCATTCCTTAATGTCCTCTAGGAAGTGGATTTTTCCTAAGCAAGTTAATAGTACAAAGTTTCACAGCAAGATGAATGTAGTTAATATAACTGTCCCTTAATTGTACATATAAAAAATGTTGAAATAGCAAATGTTTATATATATCTCAGAATTAGAATGTAAGGGATATGCCTCTGAAAAATGAAACTTTTTTTATACCCATAAACACACTCACACACTTGTATGTATATATATTTATGTATGTATATGTTACATATGGAGCCCTGGCGGTTCAGTGGTTAAGAGCTCGGCTGCTAACCAATAGGTCAGCAATTTGAATCCACTAGCTGCTTCTTGGACACCCTGTGAGGCAGTTCAACTCTGTCCTATAGGGTCTCTGTGAGTTGGAATTGACTCGACGGCGACGGGTTTTACATTTCATATGCGCTTAACATATGTATTGGTCTTCTGCTAGTTACGTGCTGTTCTTTTCTACTTATTAAAGAAGGACCACATAGGACCTAATGCTGGTTTTGTGCTACTAGCCTAGTTTGAGTTATTGTATACAATTTGAAAAATTTGCATTTAAAAAAACATTCAATTAGTGAGACTTCGTACTCAGGCTAATGTTGCCACCATTAAGTCAGATATTACTGTATTTCTTGAGGAAGACTAATACCATTTCCGTGGAGCTTAAGTAGTCCTGTTTGTTTATTTTCAGCTTCTTAATGAGGATCCTGAAATTTTTGAGGTTTCATCCAAATGTCTGTCTATACTGGTTCAGCTATATGGAGGGGAAAACCCAGACAGCCTGTCTCCAGAGAATGCAGAAAGCTTTGCCAAATTACTTACATCGAAGAAGGACCCCAAGGAGCAGAAGCTTCTGTTGAGGATTCTTAGAAGAATGGTGAGTCCAAACAGAAACCAGGGATGGGCTGGGGGTTTCGGTGGTAGCCAAGTGAACAAGGAGCAGTGGTTTCCTTTGGCTTAATTTTAAACTTCCGGAAAAGTTACCTTTCCTCATAGGCACCTATTGTTAACATTTAACAATCTTCTATCTGCATATATGGATTTTTTCTAAGCTATTGAAAGTAAGTTAGATATTATGCCTCCTTACCTCTTAATACGCGTCTGTTTCCTAAGAAAAAAGTATATTCTCTTATATTCTACAGTACAGTTATCACAATCAGGATATTTAACACTGGTACAATTCTTTTAATAATCTACTGTCTGTATTCCAGTTCTGTCAACTGTCTCAATAACATTTTTGTAGCTTTCTTTTCCGATACAGAATCCAGTTCAGGATCTGTATTGCCTTTATTTAGTAGACAAATCTCTTTAATCTGGGATAGTTCTGCAAGCCTTGCTTTGCCGTCCATGACATTTTGAAGAATATAGACGAGACATTTCACAGAGTTGTCCTCAATTTGGGTCTGTTGGATGTTTTTGCATGATTAGATTGAGGAATACCACAAAAGTGATATTGTGTCTTTTTTCAGTGCAACACGTCTGGAGGTTCATGATGTCTATTTGCCCCTTACTGGTGAACTTTAGTTTGATCATGGTTTCATCATTGCATAGTTATTATTTTTAATTTGGTAATGGCTGTAAAATGGAGATTCTTCTGACTCCCAATGTTGTTTCTATAATTGTTAGTCATCATCCTACTATAAGAAAAAATTTTCCCTCCTGCTTCATTTTTTTTTTTTTTTCTGTTTCTATTTATTATAAGAATCAACTCATGGATTCTTCTTTTGTTCAGTGGGTTATAATCCACTACTGTCTCAGATTTGGCCAGTGGAAATCCCTTCTGGATATCTGCTGTGTCTTTTTAACATGCCCCATCGTTTTTCTTTCTTTTCTTTGAGCACTTTCCATCATAATGTGGTATTTCAGGCTCATCTTGTACCGTTCCCTCCTCCAGCTGTGGAATCAGCCATTTCTCCAAGGAACCCTGGGACCTTTTAGTGAGATATTTAGAAAGCAAGATGCAGAAATGTTCTGGGTTGAAATTAGGATAACTGTTTGTCTGCTTAACAAGAAAAACAGCCTGGTCAGACCCAAGAGTCAAAATATACTAGCCCCTACTATCTCCTTGAGAATTCCCCAGAAAATCACTCTAACCCCTTGATGTCTCTAATTTAGCTCTTCAAGAATGCCAGTAATGTTTGCATCTGTGGTAAGTGCTTTGAAACCTTTAGAAAGCCTTCTGATGTATCCCTGGGCCAGTCAATATCAGGTTCAAGCTATGCAAAACAACACCCAACTAGGATCCTGGGCCCAGTCTTGAGCTACCTTAATTCAGTCCCTCCAAAATTTCCATTTTTTGACTGAATTTTGATCTAGAAGGCACTCGAGATATTCATTTCTTCATTCATGAAAGAATAAGTGATTGAGTATTACTGTGCAAAGCACTGCATTGGGGATACTGAAACGGTAAGATGTGATCTTCCTGCTCCCTGCCCTGAAGGATCTTACGTTCTAACTGGAGAGAGAGATACAGAGACAAGCAGCTTTAGACAAAGCAGAATGCCATCATGCTGCAGGGGAGGAGCCTGCAAAGCTCCACAGGAACAGTCTGTCTTGGGGCAAAGGTGGAGAGGAGATGATGTTTGAGCTGAGTATAGAAGGGTGTTGGTTGTCCACGCATGGAGCAAGAAGAAGTGCATCCTGAGCAAAGGGCCAGGTCAAGAAACCTAAGAAATAGGCTGGGAAAGGTCAAGGGGTATCAAACACGGGCTTCAGTAGCATTTGGAGTTTGAACACTATTGTTGGAATTAGGAAAATTCTGGTCTCTGAAACAAAAGGCAGTGATAGTAGTGTTTCAATTGAATTCTAGTTACCTTTACTGTGAAACAAATCTTTATCATAGTACCTTTCATGTAATAGGTATTTAATAAGTATCTACTGAATTGAATAAGAAATGTCTATAAAATCTGTGCTTTTGTTACTGGCAACTATTCGTTTTTGGTCATCATAGGTGGTTAGGTCAGACTGAGAGGGACCTTTAAAAATATTTATTTAGTCCACAGTCCGATGCTGCTTTAGTCTCCCCATAGTATCTACCAAGTTTCTGTGGAATGGATGAGATTGGATATGAAGGTGGAAAGAGGAAGGGGACTTGAGAGATACAGGGAACATGAGCTAAGATTTCTTGCGACTGTAAGGAGTCCAGCCTCTCAGACTCATCTTACTGGGCCAGAGGAGTCAGAATTGATAGAGCAGCAAGGGCCGGTGTAGGTTTATTATCTGGTGTCAGTAATTGGATTAAGGAGGCCAGATAAACACAGGGAGCCCTGGTGGCACAGTGGTTGAGAGCTACAGGTGCTAACCAAAAGATCAGTAGATCGTATCCACCAGACACTCCTTGGAAACCCTATGGGGCAATTCTACTCTGTCCTATAGGGTTGCTATGAGTCAGAATCAACTCGATGGCAACGGGTTTGGGTTTGTGTGTTTTGTTTTGTTTTTATAAACCTAGCCTTCTGGTTGTACGACGCTGAGGAGGGAAAGACAGGCTTCTGGGGGACCTACCTGAAAGCATATTTGTTACATGCATACTCCCCTGGGGGCACATCTAAAAAGAGGAGGGCCCTAAGCTAGTGGGGCCATCTCTTTTGAAGCCCCGATGGAGGAGTGCCCTCCTCTCCACAAAGCTAAGCTAGCCTGGATGGATTCGGGGAGGGCAACCCTGAAATATACTTTGCCCTTTGTTTATAAGGCCAGGTAACAAGCATGTTAGTAAACTGTGGTTATTAGAGAGCTATCTTTGGGGAATAATGCGGCGTATCCCTCCCGGTGAATCATACGAAAGGCCCTGTACTCTTGGAATTTCTGTTTAAAGTCCTGGTCTTATGACAGTAACTTTAACTTCTAAAACCACAATGTTCACTAACAAAGAAATAAGATGTTTAATTTCTGCTAATGGCATTGGGATATGTTTTGCCCCTAGGGTGTTCTTCCTTATTATAGTCTGTATTTAGAACATCCAGAGAATGTTAGGAAACCTGAGGATTTAATTATCTGTTGTAATTTACCAGGAAGTTGGGAGATTTTCTAATTATACCTTGTGCTCTAGCTTTAAAAATGTGATGGAAATCCTTGAGTATATCCCAAGTTTATCTATCCCTCAAACTTGATATCAGTGGGAGTTTTCCCAGGGTAATGACTATAGATGAGCTACTTGTCTCTTAATTAAAATCAGCTTAATTCAACACTCAAAATATTGACAACACATGAACCATCATAGACTTGTTCTGTGCCTAAAATTGGCTTAAACGTATACTGTTGACTACTGTTTGAAAACAGAAGCAATCCATGGGAGGGTGTTGATAATATACTGATGTTACTAACTCCGTCACCCTCACGCCCATTCACCTGATGCAGGGGTGCAATTTGGGGTGGCTTTTTGTAGATGATTAATATTAAAGATTAATTAAAAACATCCATCCCTTAGAGAACCTTTCCTCTATGGCTTTCAGAAAATCTTGCTGTGTCCTTTTCCTTCCAATTTTTTTTATAGGTCCACTGATCCTTTTCATCCCATCATGAGAACGGACATGTTCTGGACTAAAAATGAGTAAACATAACATTTCTTCATGTACAGAGTCTTCATAGCTTTAAAGAGACCAAATGAAAACAGGAATTCTGCAGCCATCCCCCCTCCCCCCATTTTAGGACCAATTTGAGTTGTAGAATTTAGAATCAGAGGAGATCTAATTTCTATTCGAAACGTAAAGAAATATTCCTTGACGTGTAACAAAAGGCAACACGATGCCTCTCTCTCTCTCTCCTGGCTGCTTTTTCTCATGGTAAGACCTGATCTTGACTTGTTGTCCTACAAAAAAAAAGGAGAGGGGGGATTGGTGTGAATCCAATGAAATTTTTAAGAGAAACACTATGTACCCAAACAAGTAAAAAGTAAATGTACTTAAGTTTTGTAGTTACACCTGTTTGTAGTTACACCCAGATAAAGATTGTCTGCCAGTGATTGTTAAAGGATTTGCAAACTCTTTGAATCATTTTGTGGTATTATTCCAACAAAGAAAAGAACTATCTGGCCTCGAATTTTTACTTAATTCGCTGAGGAAACATTCTTGATATTTTGAGCAAGACAAACCAGGAGGCAAATGGCTAGTGTAATAGAGGCGTTGGTAAGCAGCTCCTCTCAGGACCCAGCTGGCTGTGTTGCTGTCAGTGAAACAACACTGCTCCTCCGGAAACCTTGAGTAAGTATGTAGATCACTACCACAGGTTACCTGAGGATGTGCATGTGACAGAGAAAGCACTCTTAACATTCACGTTGAACCTTCTCATTCACCCCCGCGTTTTCTGCATACATCAGCTCCCTCCTCCTTCCACACATGCAGGCTCCTCATGACTAGCCTGGTTCCTTTACCTTTCTCTTCCTCAGTCTGATCTTTGCAGCCCTGGGGAAGCATAATTTTCCTCCTCTTCTGAATTCTTTTCTCAACAGAATTAGCTTCCCCTGCCCCCTTCCTGAAATTCTGCCAAGCAAAATTCATCTCCTACCTTCTCTAAAAAGCTTCTCTCTTCTTTCAAGGTCCTGTTGCCGTTGATAATACTTTCATTCAACTTTTTATTGTCAAGTTTCAAAACCCCAAAATAAAGAATAGTACAATGAACACTTGTATAGTCACAAACTGTTATTTTACCATATTCTCTCTTTCTGTACCCCCTTCTCTATCTCTCTCTCTCCCTTTTTCTAAATCATGTAAAAGTAAGGACATCATGACACTTGGCCCCTAAATACTTCAGCGTATACTCATAAGAATAAGGGCATTCTCCTAGCTAACCACAATACCATTACCATACCTGTGATAGTTAATACTGTGTGTCAACTTGGCTAGGCCCTGATTTCTAGTATTGTGTAATTGTCTTCCATTT